TATATATAAAAATATATATATATATATATATAAAAAGTAAAAAAAAAAAAAAAATGAATCGTGAGATTTGCAATTACCTCATATATTTTTCATTTTAATCTTGTGGTGGAAACAGGCTTTCATAGTTTTCTGATTAAAAACAAGTTGAATAAATTCCTTTGCATGCATGTATATACATGTGCCTTTTGTTGTTGGGGCAGTGTTTAAAGCAACATCCTAATCCAGAACAGCATTTCATTCTTTCTGTACCAAGATGTTACTTTCAAGTTCAGTACTTTCATAATTAAGCATCTTTCTGATAATTAATTTCCTTGTTTGCCAAAATAATAATAATAATAATGAAATTAAGTTAAAAAAAAAAGCACATTTGAACTGTAGGCATTTACAAATCTGTTGCCACCATGTTAAAATCTTTATATCAGCTATAAATTGTTACATTATTAACAATGTCTTTTTTCTGTGGTTTCTACCCATTGGGTAGGATATGTGCATACAAACTAACTTTATTTACAGCACCTTACAAATAAACGATTAAAAAAAGAAAGAAAGAAAAAAGGAAAACATTACACAGAAGAAGAAAGCACCATTGGAAGTGAGGCACAGCTAAGGTGGGAACTTTAAGAGTGCAAGTGGGTTCCTACGTCGCTCAAAAAACAACACGATCGATAGGCACCTATTCAGCTCATGAGTAACATGCAAACTCCTTGGACAGTAGAAAACGGCAAATTGTGGAGAACAAAGGGGAGCATTTACCAGGATGGTGCAAGGATGGAGGATGGACAGACAGGCAAAGCAAAAAGTGCAGCAGATGAGAAGCAGCATAGCAGCAGCAGCAACAGCGGGAGCAGCAAACTGACTAGTGAAAGCGCTGAAGACGGCCAGTGAAAAGAACAGATGGACAGGTAACAGAGAACGGGCTCTTAAATAGAATGCAGTTCTGAATGCGGTGACGTTGTGCTCTCGCTCTTTGTAGCCTTGCGTAATCTTCACAGATAGTGTGAGAGAAACATCTCATCTCCTGTGTTTCTGAAGTTGTGAGCTTTCAAAGCCTGTGCTTGAAAGACAAGAGCATCTAGACACCATTCAAGCAACTCTACAATTCTAGATCAAGCTGAGGTGCTGGAATTCCGGAATTCTAATTCTAGCCATTTTGATTGGAATCTAGAGTTATAAAAGTGATGGGATTCTAGATTATTTATATATATATATATATATATATTCTAGGATTATTACATTCTGACTCAGCTAGAATCTAAATGTGATAGGATTCTAGAATTCTAAACTTTAGCCTACAATCCCTGGCAAAAATAATGGAATATTTTTTCTTTTTATATAATTAAACAACTTTTAATGTTATTGTTAAATAATATTATAATATTCTGGCTTTGTGAAACAAAATTAATTTTTTAAATAATAGCAAATTGTTTTCCATATCAAGTACAGGAAAAAAAATCACTTTGTAATCTGGATTTCTAAAGCAAATTACTGGCACATGTGTGGTAAAGCTTTTCATCAGGAAAGACAGATCAACTCAGTGAGCCAACAAACATTACAGATCTCAATCTGACTGAAAAAGAGAGAAAAAAATATCTATGACAAGATCCCATCTTGCTTTTTGTTCATAATAGTTGGAACCAGCTTCATGGAGAATATTGTTTTTCATTAGTAAAGTGTGCGTTTCAAAGAATTCATGCCGTCATAAAAGCCAGAGAAAGTACTAATAGTTTTTTTTGAGATTTCCATAATTTTCCCTTAAAATGTCATCAACAAAAGCAATCTGATTTGTTTGAGTTTACGTTTCACAAAACCAGAATGCTCAGCTATTAACAAAAAAATAGTTTTGTGTTTTGTTTATTTGCTATAAAGTAAAAAAAAAGAAGAAAAAAAAATCCTCTAAGTGTGGTTATTCCATAAGTTTTGCCAGGGGTTGAAACTGCTAGGATTTAAAAATTCCAAATCAAGTCCAGTTGTTGTGGTTCTACTATTCTAAATATAGAAGAGGAGAGTGTTTGTTTAGTCCGGTATGAAGCACACCGGTCCAGACGGCATAATTTCTGTCCACAAGGGAAAAAAATAAATAAATCCCACCAGGAGCAGAGAGAGAGAAAAAAAAAAGCCAACTAACACAGACATGAAATAAAAGCATTCAAACATTTTGATTGGCTGACTCTAACATTCGGAGTACAAATAGAGTAGCTTATAAAGGTGAGTGTGTTGCTTTTGAAAACTTTTTTGACCATAATCCCCAGCGAACAAATCTAAGTTTATTTATAAAAAAAAAAAAAAAA